ACAGCTAAGACAGACAGCAAGCATCACGCTGCCGCCCCCTGCGGCATCATCATGCGCGAGAACTCGTCGAAGCACACGAACCCGTCGCCGTCGGCGTCGACGCCGCCGATCATGCGGCGGCAGTCGTCGACGGAGCAGGCCTCGTCGCCGAGCGAGGCGAGCACAGCGCGGAGCTCCTCGGCCGAGATCCGGCCGTCGCCGTCCGCGTCGAACACCGCGAACGCGTCGCGGAGCTCGGCCTCGTCCTCGGCCTCGGCCGCCGCGGCCGCCTCGGGCGCGAGCCCCGCCGCCTCCGCCTCCGCCAGCACCGCCGCCAGCTCCGCCTCGCTCCGCACCACCCGGCGCAGCGCCACCTCCAGGTCCTCCCGCGTCACGGTAGCGGCTAATACCGCCGGCCGCGGCTTGCCGTCCCCGGAGGACGACGGCGCGGATCGGACTGGGAGTGGGAGGACGGTGCGCGGCGTCGTGGCGGCGGACGGCGACGCGCACTCGTCGGACGAGGAGGAGGACGTGGTGGAGCCGAAGGAGCCGCTCTTTGATCCCTTCCTCTTCTTGCTGATCACCTCCTGCTGCTTCTTGCCGGAGGACGAGCCGAAGAAAGGCATGCTCAGCTTCATGACGATAGGTGTTTGCGTACCTTGCAGTGCAACCGTGCAGGGGAGGGATTCGAGGATCGATGGATTGCTCGAGGTGTGGAGGGGATCACGGGAGGAAGGATGAGGGGTGGAGAAGACGAGGAGTTATAGAGGGCGCGAGGGACAGGGGAAGTGAGCTTCCGCGAAGCTTCGTTCGCGCCCGGCCCCGCCGGCGCGGGAAACTAACGGCCGGTTCGTTCGCACTCGCACGCGGCCTACCTTACGTCCTGCGCTCACCACCTCACCCCCGACACGCGATGCGATTCTCTCGCTCGTCTCCGCTTTGAAGGCTTCTTCCTCCTCTCTAGATCACCATCGTCGTCGTCTGCATGGGACCGACGACGGCGATCCTTTACATACTACTGCATGCACCACCGCCGCACCTAACGCTAGCTCGAGCATCAAGGTCATGTAGTGAGCGTGGACATTTGCTTGGCCATACGGTTTGTCTATTCCATTTAACTTTGCAAACATAATTTTACAGGTTACTTCTGTGCCTCTGTAGTTTTCAGAACTTTGATTAAATCTTAGCCTAGTTTAGTTTTTATAACCAAGGGAGAGATGATCATGCATTGACGGTGACATGCATCGACCATGAGAGATTGATCCAACATCCAAGCAACGGCGGTCAATTGGCGGCTGATATGAAAACTGGATTAGTCGACCATTATGCAACCCAACACGTACGGTTATAGAGACACGTACGGGTGTAGCTTAAAAAAATTCTCTGTGTAAGAACTCGTAGCTAGTTCAGAGAAAGGGACACCAAGTCGGCATCGTAATCTCGGTCTACTTTTTTCTTTAAATAATGATACTTTCACGGGTACTCAAACAAACAGACGTCAGACGTCAGTATCACACTGCACCAGCAACACACACACATGAGATATGTTTGCATTTTTACCGGGTACCTCTTGGTGTCGTATACGGTGTACATACTAGTACACACAGCAGGTTGAATTGAACGAAGGTGCGAGGAAACTTCCGGTGGCGTTTCGTAAAGTGTCAGGAAACTAACCTGACGACAGTGAGGTACAGATAGCGTACGTGACGACCCCTGATGAGCGAGCCAGCAGTGAGTAGTTGGTGGATGGATGGGAAACTCATCAGGAATTTCGGCTGCGTTACGGCTGCACTTGCCTCCTTGTCCTCTCCTTGCTTTCTAGTTGGATGATGATGAAAAACAGCAAAAGGGCAGAGCAATCCGTCCGTTTTTGCTGCAGTTGCATTTCCATGCGCCGTGTGGCGATTCCGGTTCCGGTAGCAGACAGCAGCGCTTGCCCACCCACCAGTGAGGCCGTGCTAGCTAACCTTTCTTGGCAGTAGTTGAGCCATCAAAAGGGAGGGCCGGTGTTTGGCTTGAGAAGAGAAGGGACAGAGATGATCCATCCCAAAATACTCCGATTCTTATTTCCTTTAGGCCCCGTATATTCAGTGGCGGCGCTGGGGGTATTCCCCTGTATTCCACGGAATACCCAAGATTTTGGAAACAAACATAAATACATATATAAATACATAAATACATATATATACACGTTGCAAATCTGGCCCAAACTCCCCAAAGCCCAACAGAAAGCAGCAACTGTCAGCCCACCAAAGTAAAAACAAGCTCGCATCGGGTTTCCTGGCTGCAGGCTGCCGCTGAGCCGCTCCCACCAATCTCGTGGAGTCGTGGAGCAGAGGCTGCCGCACCAACTCGCAGCGCAGAGAGCAGGGGCACGGCGGCACGCCGGCACCTCGGCACATCCCCCTCTGCCGTCGCCCCTTCCCCAGTTTCCCTTGCCCTGCGGCGCTGCGCGAGCGGTCCGGTCGAGCGACGAGCGCGACCTGCGCGGCTGCGCCCAGCCCTAGCGTCCCGGCTCCAGAGAGCAGTGCCGGAGAGCGGAGAGGCAGGCAGGCGGCGACCGGAGGGCGGCGGCGAGCAGTCCTGGCGGCGAGCCCGGCGCTCCGCCGGCTCCGGCATCCCGCGACGGCTTCCAGGTCATTTTTCTCAATCCGGCGCCAATGCATCCACACATTTACAGCAACGGGCACATCTGCTTAGGTAAAACTGCTCCCTAGGAATCTTGTCTGACGGAGAACATTTGCGTGTGACTCCATGTTTGATAATGCTTTTCATTAGCTTCATGACGGCGGCCCAATGGGAATGTTATTTGCCTGACCTAATAATGTCCCGTCTAGCTGTCAGTTAGGTGCTAAGATTCTATTTGTTAGAAGAAAGTTGCCAACTTAACCAATTGTGCTTTTATAGTGCTATATAATAGGCTCATGACTGAGAGTCTGAGATGCAACACACATTCCCTTTTGTTACTAGGGGTCTTGATTGGATTGCCATATGCGTGTGAAATTGCTATGTGCAGGAGTTTTGTATTTGGTCTTCTAAGAGCATCTCCAAGAGTTTGCTATCTCAACTTGGCATCCATATAATTTTGGCAAAACAAGAAAAAATAGCCTCCAACAGTTTGGCAAAACAACTTGGCATCAATAACAACTTGACAAATCTTCCCTCCGCGCGCGCAAATATACGCGCGCGTATACGGCTTGGCATCCGGGGCTCTTCGTTTCTTAGCGGGGCTCTTCGTTCGCTTAGCGGGACTCTTCGTTTTGTTAACGGGTTTTTTTATTTTACCAAGTCAAAAATGCCAAACTCTTGGAGATGGATTGTTTTTTTTACTTGGCATATAATTTTGGGAGTTGGCAAATCACAAGATTTGCCAAGTAAAATTTGACAAACTCTTGGAGATGCTCTAAAGTTGAAATTCGGCTTCGGCTCCGGAGCCGTTGAAGTTGAAGCAAGGTGAGCACAGTAGCACAGCAGTGTCAGATCCATTCTTCAGAGTTAAAATTTAGGATTTTTTCGTTTTCTATTTTTTTGCATTGGATTTTTGTATCATAGATGAAGAAGAAGGGTGCTAGCATATTTGCATTGTGGGAGAAAGCTGCAAAGGCAAAGAAAACAGCTTCCACTTGATTTATTTGCTGCTTATGATCAAGAGAAGTTGGTTAGACTTGCTACAAAGTTTTATCCTAAGGATTTCACAACTGATGAATTGTCAAAACTTCCATATTAGCTCACTATGTACATTTCTCATGTGCGTAGAGATGAAAGGTTTAAAAATTTGAAAAACCTATGTGAGCTTTCAGTTATGCTTGTTAGCACAAAAAGATATGAGCAATATTATGTTGTCTACAAGCTTCTTAAGTTGGTGCTAATTCTTTCCGTAGCCACTGCTAGTGTTGAAAGAGTGTTTTCCACGATGAATTATGTGAAGAACAAGCAAAGGAATAAAATGGGTGATGAATATTTAAACAATTGCTTGGTCACATTTATTGAGAGGGAATTCTTCAGTCAAGTGAAAGATGATGATATTATTAATCAATTCCAAAAAGGGGACCGTAGAGTTATATTTTAGTAGCTTTGATGTTTTGTAATTTTTCTTAATTATTAGACAATGACACTATGCCACTATATTTAGAGATTATACTTTGCTTATTACTATTGCACATTTTTATCGAAATTTTTATGTACGCGAAATACCCAGCTATGAAATCCTGGCTCCGCCAACTGCCCGTTTGGTATGGCTAGATTCTCCTAGAAACGTTTTAGATTCAGATCCTCTCCAGAGACGTCTCTCCGTTGAAATAGAAATCGCTTGGTAAAAATCTATGAAACATTTGGCTATTGATTCAGATTCTCCTTGAAATGAAAGAATCACTACGAAACACCTATTTAGGTGATTCTCATTCCTAGTTCAAAACAGAGAAATGTTTCTAGATGTTTTACAGAGAATCGATTCCCTGAAAAAGGCATTTAGCAGCGATTCTGGTGATTCACCTGAGAATCCAAAACGTTTCTATCATCCAAACGGGGTCTCAATCTATCACCACCTCATCTTTCTCGAGTACTTACTACATTGTATGACTACCCTTATAACAAGCCATGTGTACATCCTATCAGAATTTATAGAATGACCTTATGACAGACCATTACATTCAAGATACATGTTTATACATTGTGACAGACCATTTAGATGATGGAATTATGATAGACCATTCCATTCTACAGAAAAATATTTAGTGTAGAAGATGCCGTGGCCTGTGGATGGTGCATGTAAGTCAAACAGCACCGAACCACCAGGCTCATTTTTTAATAATGTATAAGCATGACAGTCGCAGAACGGGCGTACGGCTCCCCATGCTCCAGAAGAACGTATCGCACTTACACTGTTACACAAACAGGGTATAATACACTGAACGTCACTAGAAAAAACGCAAACTAAATATTGATCAAATCAAACATCGTACGATCTACATGAGCATCGTGTTCCATGTGGAGTATTACCCATACAGCGCGTGTTTCACAATTTAGCCACAGGGCGTGAGCTTCTTGTTGCCTGCGCCGCGGGGGTTGTCATCCTTCCAGTCGTCCCACGCTCTTGCTTTCGCCTCCTCGGCGTCCTCGTCCTCTTGGGCCGAGCTGCTGCCATCCTTGTGCCACGCGGAGTTTGCTTCTTTCATCATCTCAGCGGTCCTTTCTTGCCACTTCTCCATCATTTTCATCTCGCGCAAACCAGCTTCTTCGATGCTCATCGTTGGCATCCTGTGATTCAGGCGAGGACAAACAGGCAAAAGAAAATGAATCAGATGACAGTCTCATAAGCTCTGATAATGCTTCTTGATCCTCAGAAGCATCAAGAATCCAGGGGTAGGGTAAGGATTATATCACTAGTAATATCAACCGGTCGCTACCAACAAATCTAAGCATTTTACATCTGACTTGAAACTTGTTATATCTTATGGCTACACCAATAAGGAAAAAGTTCAAAGTGTGTTTTATTAGGAACTGTGATAACCCAGTTAAAAAAAAGGAATTGTGATAACTAGTGCTTATTCCACATTCAGCAATAACATTATCATCATTAGAGAAATGCGTAACATAAAAAAACAGTAAGCATTGAGGTGTTCTAGGGTATAACACAAGGTAAACATCAGCTTTCAGGGGTATAACACTTAATTTAAGGCATGCAGCATACCTGTAACTAGGCTGAAAAACTTGTGCCGCCATTCTTTCCCTTTCACTGGTTAGACCACCACCAACAAGACTTGCAGGTCCAAATATCAGGGGCTGGTGTTTGTGCTCGTGAGCTTGTGAAACGCTTGCTCTACTCTACCAATGACATCTTGAGCAAATGTTGCACAAGTGATTGGATCAACTGGTTTGGAATATGCCACACGGTTGGCAGCATTATGGTGCCATGCTTCAGCCTTCTTTGTTCGTTCATCAAGCATTTCACGAGCAAATGCATTCCCGTCCTGAAGAAATGGAGATGTTACAGCAGACAATTTTTCTGATTAACAAAAGAAGTCTCCATATACATGCAGTCTACTTGAAACAGCCATGCAAATATAGGAAGCCAAAGCACCATCGATGGAAGTGGCTGCTTATTGGTAGAAGATCCACTGGATTCTATAAAGTGTAACTTTTAAATGTTTTAGTATCCACGTTTTCTTCATAAATATGCACAAATTATTCAACAACCAGATTCATCCATTGAAATATATTTTATAATTCCTCAAAAAACATGGGGTGAAATACTTCCAGTGGTGTTCTGTATCAGTTGTCAATCATAAGAAACAAATCTTAATAAGATATGCCAATCACAAGACAGAATATCTTCAGTTAACATTAAACAAACCATATGTAGAATTTTGAGAAACACAACTACTCTTAACACCTTGCGGGTTGATCTACATGAAAGCTACCTATTCTTTTCAAACTATTTTTTTCAAGTTTGGTTCCAAGTTGAAACTTTGTCATTATGGCTAAAAATACATCTGATCCAAATTGCACAAAGCGGACATTGTATGCATTTATCTTATTTGTGAAACATGATAGCCTGAGACTCCCACATTCTCTGAAGAAAAAAATGTTTCTTTGATTATAATTGACCTAAGATGCTACTGACAAGAAATTACCAAATCACCATCATTAGCATTACCTTTGCCTTCCTTTCCTTTACAGCTAGAAGCATTTCTTCCTCCTTCTTTAGCATGTCGAGAAGATCAAAAGCCTGTGTATGAAAATAAAAAATTTAATGCATCAAATGTTACTATGAATGCAAGTACTACAATTTTTGAAACAGAGAAAAAACTCAACAACAGTGTTATGTAATATTTGTCGACACAACAAACTAACCTTGCAGATAGCCAGTGAGATTGTAGCTAACCAAGCCTGCAGCACAGAAAGAGGAAATCAGAACCAGAGCATATATTCTGATTAATATAAAAACGAATGCAAGCTAATACAAGTTGGAAGGACACATTGACAAGAGACAAAACAGCACTAACAAGATTCCAAAATAACTATTCAATCATGAGAAACAAAATAGCATAGAAAGTACACACTGAGGGCTAAAAATTGAAGACCTTGAAGTGAGGATTTGAATGCTATGGGATAAATTTGATGGTAGCACTGTTTCTGTGTCACAAACTGACTAAAGAGAACAAAAGATCCTCATGGGCTTGGTATACACTAAAAGGAGCATACAGGGTATGTGGTTGACAGCCTGCAGGTATTTAAGAACCTAGCTACGTGCAGCAAATTGTAAAGCTCCCTACAAGCATCAGACTAAATAAATTAAAAAACCACCATCAAATGGAAAAGCTTTATCTACTACAATATCACAGTTCATTTTATTTTTGAAAAAAAAAATCTCTCCTTTTAAGAAAACTAAGGCCATATTAATGGTATACCACGGATCATTCTAATTTGAAATATGCTGGAATTTAGAAACCTAAACATGTCATGAAAACAGCTTCAATATGCGGGATGTTAACCTCTCTTTCTTCCTCCCCATCATCCTCCAGGTCATCTTCCTCTCCAGCTTCAATTGGGGCAGATAAAGCAGCTGCTCTCAATGAGCGTCCACGCCTTTCTTTTCTCTCTCTGATCTCTTGGAGCTTCGTTTCTGCAGCCTTTTGACGTTTAAACCGGGCAACCTAGGAAAAGAAACAATAAACATAAAGAGTGAATTACAGGAAACTGACCCACCTTAGACATCTTATGAGTAAAATCAGCATGTGCATAATAGATTCAGCACAACAAGAGAACCATGTCCATATTACTGTGCTCCAATCACAGATTAGAAACTGCTGACTGATACCTTAAGAATTTAAAGGGAAAGTAATTTAGTCTCACCTTCTGCGCTCTTCTGTTTGCCATAGTATCAGGCTGCTTCTGCCTGGACAATTCTAGCTCATCCTCTGGAATAAGCTCTAGTACTTCACATAGAGCAATGAACTCCTGTGGAGTGCAAAATGAGGTAACGTGATGACAAAGTACCATGCTAGAGAGTAGAGACCCCTCGTTATAAACGAATTAAAAAGCTGCACCTAGTGAAACAATGTGACAGGGCAAATTGATAACCTTCAAATGGTCCTGTGATGCCTTAAGAACCGGGATCCGATCCTCTTGAGCTATCTTCTCAGTCATTTCCGCAAGGTAATCGGAACCTATGAATGCAAACAATGATCAGAGGTATACAGAAGAAAATCGAACTTGTGAAACACTGGAACAATTCTTAAGTTTTTTAGCACTGTTGTGGTTTTCAGTTGTACTGACAACTGAATAAAACTGACGAGGCGTGATTTGCAAGTGTACTGGCAACTGAATAAAACTGACCAGTCGTGATTGGCGATTGTAATGACAACTGAATAAAACTGACCAGGCGTCTAATACCATCACGACCTGTTTCATAGATTTGTACGGGGGAGCAGAGTCAGGGGAGGGGAGGGGAGGGGACGGACATACGAGTAGGTACTTGAGGTTTGCGGTGGAGACGTCTTCCTTCGTCTCGTTGGGGAGAAAAGGCCGAGCTTGCTGACCATCTCGTCGCAGCGCCGCAGCAGGTCAACCGCCGTGCGGATCCCATCCTGCGCGTCAGAAAATCCAAGCGCGTAAGCACCGCTCGCCCGATCTCTATCTCTTGGTGAGCGGGAGAAGGGCGGGCGATCCCAGTTCCCAGAAGCGGGGCGGGGGGGCGGGGGAGGGAGGCACCTGGTCGAGGGCGTGGAGCCGCGACGCCCTGTCGAAGAGGGCCGGCAGGGGAGGTCGTCGTCGGCGGCGTCCTCCGGCTCGGCGTGGAGGCGCATCTGCGATTGCATCTTGTTCCCGACCTCCTCCACATCCACCATTTCGACCGGTCGGACGGTTGCCTCGCGGAGCCGGAAGCGGGTGAGCGAGCGAGAGGTCGGCGGCAAAACCCTAGCGGAGCGGGGCAGAGGAGAGCCGCGGGGAGGAGAGGGAACAGAGGAGAGAGCTCGAGAAGCGTCGTCGCGGGGAGGACGCTGGACGCAGAGCTGGAAAGATATTTTTTATTTTAATATAAAAAATAATCCAAATGAAATACAACGAGAGCTATGTTTACACCGCAGATAAAAAATAATACAACTGAAATACAATTACACCGCAGATACTGTTTCTTTTTTTTCTAAAAATGTGAAAACACTCGGTGCTGTACTGATGGCCAGAACATGATTACGGAAGGTACCAAAATGTAACGTTGTCGGTTCATTGTGTAAACTAGGTAAACTTCCCACGCGTTACGGCGGAAATTTTGAAGATGCGGTAAAGGAGGAACAAATGAATGAAGCAAATGGATACAAAAAGTAAAGTAGCAGAATATTTAATTAGAGAGTGAATTTATGAGCTTCGAGCAAACTTAGCTTGTCGTGGCTCTTGTGAACCTAGATTTATGCAATACGAGAGAATATATATAAGGATAGTCTCAGCCATAATATTACAGAATAGTTTACATATTTATAGATTAATATACATAGTGCCTAACAAAACTATAATTTCAATTCATAGTTTCTATGTGTATAAAGGTATGCTATCATTCTTAAAGAATCGACAAACAAAAGGATATAACAATTAAATAGAAAAAACTCCGCCTTCAGTGGAATGAAAGCCTTAGAAAAAACAAATAGAAAAGGGTTAGATAAAAGAATGGCAGCTAGCCGTTGGGTGGGTTTGGATAAATCCAAACATGATCAAATCCAAACCCACCGGACTCATCCCCCGTTCCTCACCCTCTCCAGTTACACACATTCATTTGGCCATACCCATTGGATAACGGGGAAGTCGATGGACAAGTAGACTGAATAATCAATTAATGCTGCTCTGTATGCTTGCGTGCGTTGAGACAGGCACAGGTCCACATTCATCTGTCTTTCATAGCCTTGAGGTAGACACAGAAGGAGCCCTCTATGATGCAGCACATAGGGACGGCCGCCGCTGTCAAAGTCGCCAGAGCGGTCGAGCACCATTCGCCGCGTCGAAGCCTCGGAAGCTGTCGTCCGCCGCCAAGCGTCCGCGGCGATCATTGCCCTTGAGTGTGACTCGTGATGGCTTTGAGGCTCTCTACGGGGGTGGGGCCACCTCATCGCCGAGGAGGCCAACAAGTGTCGTCTTGCTGAGGTTGGGAGCCATGGCCGTCAATCGACCGTCGAGCACTGACCGCTATCGCCAACTTTTCTCCCTCGCCCTCGTGAAGAAATTTTTGGGGATGAGTAAGACTGGGCAATCGGGTAATTCCCTCCCCATACCCTTTTACCAGTGGGTATACCTGTTACCCTAAGTGGCGTTTGGATAGCTATTGGTTTTGGGATAAGAAGATGCAGATGGATATGACCAGGTTGGTTACGGTTATGGAGAGGGATACTCATATTTCAGGGTCTGTTTGATTGCGGAAAAAAAATCATATTCCCTTGTTTTCATGTGAAATCCCTACGTGATTCCTGCAAAATTCTGCGTTACAAACATGCCCTTATCCTTTGCCATGATTGGTTTTATTTTGGGTTTGGGTTTGGTTATTTAGTGGGACCCACTAGCTAGGAGAAAAATGAAAACGAAGGAGTGTACTGTAGTATATCGCTTTCGGTTACTAGGCTTCCGTAGCTTCCCTTCTCCGCCCAAATCTCCGCCCATCTAGTCGAAGCAGCAGGAAAGCACTACCACAGTCGAGCGTCGCGCCGCTCCCTGGCCCCATACCCTCCTCATATCCTCGCTCACTCTGTCTCTCTTCTTCCCCGCCCGCGCTCTTCTCCGGCCTCGAAGAACCCTAACCCTAGACTGTAGCCCTCGTCGGATCCGACTGCCAAGGTGAGCTGCGGCTGGTTCTCTCGAGGCTCTGCTCCTTGTCTGCGTCCAGCTTTTGAAGCCATAGCCGGGGAAGTGGACTGGAAGCCCGATGAAGCTAACTTCAACGGGCTCGAGCACGACGGCCAGCGGCGGAAGGGAGTGTCCCTTCTGCCATGTTTCTTTGGTCCGGATCCAGAGCAAGCAGCCAGCGACAAAGGACGAGTGGTTCGTCAAGTGCCCGTAGAACATAAAGGTTAGGATTCTTGACATTGTCGACCTCACTATGTCTTGATGCTTCTCTGATTGACACACTACTCTGTTTTGAATGCAAGGTGATCCTACTACCTGTGGCTTCATCCGCTCTGAGTTGGAGTATGAGGCCTTGAAAGCACAGGAACGCCGGTCCAGACTGGGAAGGATGCATTAGGTGATGATTGTTACGCCGAATTGAAGGAAGAATTGCAAGAGGTCAAGCAAAGATTGGATACTGTTGTAGCTGAGCTTTGGAAACTAAAGGTGCAACTTGCTGAGCTGAAGCCTGGACTGAATCCTGAACTGAAGCCTGAACTGGACATGAGGATGTTGCAGATTGTGCTCGATTCTTCAGTTGTAGCACCTGTGTTTGTAGGCTTTGTAGGTGTCCTGATTGCTGTCTTTGTTGCTGGTAGGTGGAAGTGAACAACTAATGTGTGTGTGGGTTAGCTAATGTGTGTCTGTGTGTGTGTATGTTACCATAAAATTGAAGCGAAAGGTGAAATGAATGTGTGTTCAGATGGTATCAATTCACAATTGTTTGTTCTAACAGATACACGTGTCATACAGGCCATCAGAAGTTAAAATTCAGAACATGTACCATATATATGCCATATTGGCCATCACAAGTTGGAATCACAATCTTTTAGACCATATCTGTCATTTCATTAATAGAACTGAGCAACAACATATCAGTACAAAAGTTGTTAAATTAACACCCTAGGTTCACAACCACTAGGTTCCAGCGTACCAACTACAAGGTTCCAGCATACCAACTACTAGGTTCCAAAGCCACATCTCACAAAAGTAGATCATACCAGCATACAAGTTCTAAATTTATTACAAAAGCAGATCATAAGCTGCTCACAGGCTCTAGTGTTCATAGACCAGCCTCCTAATGCTACTAACAACTCTAGTAGGCGGGTTGACTGTAGCCTTCTTCAGCTTCTTCTTCATGGGTGCCTTCTTCTTATTTGGGGTGCCCTTCTTCTTCTGAACTATCTTTTTCTTGGCTTGGGAGGGACCAGCTTCCTCTGTTGGAGCTTCTTTCCTACAGTCAGCCTGTTCGCTTGTTGGTTTCAGCCAAGGCTTATCAACCATGGCACAGTGTTTTTCTCTCACAACAAACTAGCACCAGCCGGGCTTATCAGCCCAGAAACCAACCAGGGAACAGGCTAATTGTGAAGGTAACATTAGATATTGTGAAGTAAAAAACAGGTGATGTAATTTAGTGGACAGAAGGGTACCTTTTGTTAGCCTTGTTTTTTTTAAAGAACAGGAAGGGTTTTTGGCCCCTACTGAATTGCATTAAAATAGAGTAAGAAAGTTACAGAGTGAGCAGGTTTTTGTTAGCCTTGTTCCTAGGTGGAGCTCTCTCACCATCTTCTCCAATCTCTACCAGTTTGCATGTTTTTGCAAAGTGGCCAAAATCTCCACATCTCTGCCAATTTGTGAGGGCGGGGAAGAAGAGAGACCAAGTGAGCGAGAGGAAGAAGAGAGTGCGAGATAAGGCCATGGGCGCAGGTTCCTTTCACAATGGGACAGGGGCAAAAACATACGCCTGACAGTGGGCCCAAGCAGCTGGAAGACGTAGAATTGATGAGGGAAACAGAGATTTATAATGGTACATTTCAGAATATGTGAATTGTATTGGCAGATCTCTAAACTTTGAGAATTGTAATGGTACCAATCCAAATAACCCATTGTGTTAATGGAGAAGTACAACCAGGTGGAGAACATTTCTTTGCACTGAAATGGTAACAAGCTAGCAGCCATGCTCCCATAACAACAAAAGAAAAACATCACATTACAGGCAGCACTTTGCCAGCAGCCCGGCAACTGTCAAAACAAAGGCTACAACCTACTGGTCTTTCACCAAAATTTCTTCAGGCTTGTTCAGTTAATCAGCAATCCAAGCAGATTGGAGGGGATCAAAGGGGGTTGAGGGGGATTTTGACTTGTAGAGGATAAAATCCCCCTCAATCCCATCCAATCCCCACCGAACCGAACAAGGCCTTCACGATTTTGTCACAAAATCAAGAGCCACGTTTTCCCTAATAACCATTTTTGCAAGTCATCTAGTGCCATGGACGCCATTCATCATTTCTTCCCCTGTGATCCTGCCAACTGCTTCTTTGGTAACGCTCATCCTGTCTCCTATGCTTGTTGTTCCTCTGCTGGAAGTACTCTCCGCTGTTACGTTTCCTTCCAGATGCGTGACTTGGATCCTCCTGCTGGTATCTATTGTTGGATCCACCATAAAAGTTGCTATTTCTATTGTTTGATGAGTAATGGTCGTTGCTCGAGCCACGCCAATTGCGTTTCTCCAGAGCATCACCCCAACCTGAGCTGCTCTTACCCCATATACTGGAAGATTCATTCTTCACTCCCCAACTCAAGTCGGGTTTTGAGTTAGCCTCCCAGTCCCACCTATTGACTTCAGATGGTTTTTCAACATAGATATCCCAGTTTCCGCACTGGTTCTTATCTGCCCTGGCATTGGTCGATCCAGTAGCCAGGCCAGAACTATTATCCACTTCAAATGGTACCCGTACCTTATCCAGGTCAGCTACCAACTCAGGGTCAACTTTGCAGCGATGGTCGACCTTATCAATGTACATATCAGGGTCCGGCAAAGAAATATCAGAAGGTTGGCCATGATAGTGAGCCCAGAATCTTGCCTTTGAATTCTGAAAATTCTCAAAGGCTCCTGAATCATCCCAGTGCTCAAGGATATTACATACTGAAATATATCGCTTGTTTTCACAGAACCTTTGCCAAGAAATGTTGCCAACATAACTGCAGAATTCCCTTTCCCATAATGGGACTGAGCAGTGCTTCTGTACTGTGTATATGAAACTGATATTAGAATTCAAATAAAGAAGCTTGCTTGGCAACTCTCACTGGTGATGGCTAGAGTACTCCCCACAATTTTTCTTTTTATATACTTTCACCTTTTCTTTTTTGATTTGTACCCTAGGAATATATCACCAGTAATGAGAATGATAAGCAAAACACTAACTCTATTACAAAACCATATCCCTAAAGGTCTAAAGGCTAAAGCTAACTCTAGATACTGTTTCATCTTATCTACATAACCCAACTTTCTAGGATTACAAGCTAATGGACCTCAAGCTGTAATGTTTGACGTAAAACCTCAAGCTGTAATGTGGTTCTTTCATAACTCATAAGCCAAGCTCACAATGCCATGCCAGCGTATGGCATTTGAGCTGGGATAAAGAAACTTGTACATACAGAATTTTGGATGAAGATTATTAAAAAATGGCAGCATTCTCTCTAAAGGTAAGCAGCTACGTCACCAAAAGGAACGGTCAATATTGTACCAGCTACAATTTGGGATAAAATTCAAAACATTCAAACCAACACCCCACAGCATTTTGGATACTCTAATTTGAAATACTAAGTATCTTCATTTCAAATACTAATTTGTTAAATTCCTCTCATTACTAATCGAATCCCTGTTCTTGTAGGAACTGATGATACTCTACAGACAGTGGCTGGAAAAATCATCTGCAATTACTAAAACTTGCACACTTGCAATTGCAGTACCCTCCCTACTCCCATTCCCCCAAATAGACAAATTGGAATGGCTATCTCCAACAGGTGCATTTTCCGAAGCTACTAGCATTTTCTCTTCTGACATTTCAGTATAACATTTCGCAAAGTAAAGAAAAATGTACACACACGAGAAATCTTCAGACAACAGGCCATTTGCATCAATAACTCTGATTCTAAGCTCGAAGTAATGACGGAGTCACTAAATCTCTGTTCGACTAGAATTAGCAAGAACCTAACGACACGAAACAAATTCGAATCCAATCCTACCCAAAGAGATTACGGGCTAGCACCATCCAAATCGAGGAGCGAGGGAGAGGTACCCGTCCGTACCGTAATCAGGCGGAGGGAGCGGAGGGCGGTGCGGGCGGTCGCGGTGCCACCTTACATGCCGCGACCGGTTCCAGCCCCCCATCGGGAGGGGGGCGAGGAGGAGGAGGACCCAGTCCCCAACCCAGACGATTCGCCGGAGTTCCCAAACAGGCACAAGAACCAAGCAAGCCCAATGGCAGGCAATCGGGGAAACCCGCCCCAAAGAACTATGTCGCTATAAGAGGCCGCGAATCCAGCGCGCCGCCAGATCGTGGAGGTGTACCGCCGCCTGTGCCGGCGACTGTGCCTGACCGGGAGATAATTGGAATTTTGGCTTTACGAAACGTGGGCTTAGCTCTTTAGGGATTCGTTCGTTTGTCACCGCGAACTAGACACACTCGCTAAATGCTATTTCTGTATTTTATTGCTAATTTTTTTTAATTTTCGTGACCTCTTTTCTTTCTCGTTTTGCTCCTGCTCACCAGCAATCGTATCCAATCCATTCGATCTCCCATTCGTTCGATCACGGGATAGACCGACGTCGCTAGAGGCGTAGCGTGACTGCCGAGCCCGCGCCCACCTCGGCGTGTCCACGCTTAGCCCCCTGCCCGACAGCGTCTCGCCCGACCCACCTCCTCGGTGTCTCTCCCGTAGCTTGACCCAGGTCCCGGCACCGTCGGCCATGCCCTGCTTTGCTCTAAGTGCTAGATGGACAACCACCGGCGGATCTCATCCTAGGTGCGCATTTTTGCTCACGAATGGTCTACTACTTAGCTTCTTTTTTGACCAAAGTGCTCCCATATGATAGTTTACGAGTTGTGAACTTGATTGCTGGTTTTTAGACCCATCATTAAATTGAATTAATCTTTCTTGTTTTCAATAGTGCGGACGTGTTCATGATAAACACGATGGCTTTTGATTTATTAGGTTGACCCTCATAACTCAATGCCTTTTTCATTTATTAAGTTTACGCTCATGTGCTTTTTTCAATGATAAAATGACAAAATAGGTTGTGCTCATGTACTTTTGAACCATTCGGTGGTAATTAAGAAGTAAAAAAGAATAATTCTTAGTCTTCTAATTTATGGTGGTAATCTAACTTTGGAGATCTCCTAACTGTATCAGCTTTTTTCCCCAGTACTAGGCTCGATGGAGAGCACTGAACTTAACTTAGCAACGGTAGAACCTCCTTACATGATTGCGGACACCTCTTATTGATTGGGATACGCTATGCATTGAAGAAAGTCAAGATGAAGAGGGAAGAATAGAGATGGTGGATGATGAGGTGATGTATGCATTGTTGGGACTTAGGCTTGAGGATGAGGAGGCTGATAAGGCGAGGGAGACAGCTAGGAAAAGTTTATGCGGTGAATGTAGCAGCGATACTTGGAAAGTTGATACAAGCTGGGGCAGCCATTGATGTTGATGACTATTTACCGGGGAGAGGACTGTGGTGCATGATCCAAATCAGACCTAGAATGGATCTTGGCACGGTGTATCCTAACATGAAGGAGTTTAGATTGGGTACGTGAGATAATTTCCTATAAATGAAAAGTTTGAACTACACATTGTCAAAACAGACCCAACTAGATACATTGCTGATTGCAAAGGAGAAGATTGTCCTTGGCATCTTGTTGGGCGTAGACAACCTGATGGGTGCACCATTATGGTACTAACTTGCATTTTTTGTCCTTCTATTATTGTTTGCATTCACTAATTAATTTTTTTTTGCATGTGATAGTGCTTATTGGTGACCACACATGTACAGCTAGGAGGAAGACTACGACACCAACCAGTGCTTGGGTTGCTACAAAGGCAATACATCACTTTAGAAAGAAAACAAGTATGGGTTGTAAGAAACTGCAAAAAACTTTGTAAGATGAGCAGAAGTGCCAAATTCATTATGACACTGTTTGGAAAGATAGGCAAATTGCTTTGAGAGAATTGTATGGCAAATGGGAAGATAGCTTTCAGCTGCTATTCAATTGGAGGGCAGAGGTACTGAAGAAGTCTCCAGGCAGTGTTATTGAGATTGGTATTAAGAAGGTAGACGACATGTTCTATTTCCATAGATTTTTCTGTGCACTACAACCTTGCATTGAAGGTTTCTTAGAAGGATGTAGGCCATATCTTAGCATAGACTCTACTGCACTTAATGGTAGATGAAATGGTCATTTAGCTACTGCTTGTGGTATAGATGGTCACAACTTGATGTACCCAGTTGCTTTCGGCTTCATTGATGGCGAGACAACAGATAACTGGACTTGGTTTATGACTCATTTGCATAAGGCCATAGGAGATCTTCCTGTTTTAGCTATCTCGTCAAATGCATGTAAAGGTCTAGAAAATGCAGTTCAGAAAGTGTTTCCTAAGGCTGAACATAGGGAGTGCTTTAGGCATCTAATGAACAACTTTATTAAAAGGTATGGTGGTGATGTATTCTCTAAGATGTATTCTGCAGCTAAAGCTTATAGACAAGAAGTGTGCGGTTACTTTTTCAATTCAATTGTTGAAGCTACTCCTGATGTGTTGGTTTGGCTAGAGGCTCACCATTATAAGCTATGGATGAGATCTGCCTTCAATCCTGACATTAAATGTGATTATATCACTAATAACCTTGCTGAAGTGTTTAACAATTGGATCAAGGACTAGAAAGACCTTCCTGTTGTGGAGCTCGCAGACAAACTCAGAGAGATGATAATGGTGTTATGGACGAAAAGGAGAAGAATATCAGAAAGGCTTCATGGGAAAATTCTCCCAGCAGTCATACATCAGTTGAAGGCAAGAACAAGAGGACTTGGGCACTTGACTGTTGTAGACTCCGATAGTTCTACAGCAGAGATTTGGGATACCACAAACACTAATAGTAGACATGTTGTGAAGTCATATCTTCATGAGTGCACCTGCCTTGAGTGGCAGCATACTGGTAAGCCTTGCCAGCATGCTTTAGCTTTGATAACAAGTGTACAGTCTGCTAATGTAAATATGGAGGACTTTGTGCACGAGTATTACTCGGTTGAGAGGTTCCAGGCAGCAAGAGACTTATAGAGCCATTGCCTGCTAGGTCACAGTGGCCAGATGTTGATTTGTCGTTTGTGCTTAAGGCACCCCTCGACAAGAAGGCAGCTGGCAAGTACAAAAAACTCAGGATGAAAAGCTTCCTTGAAGGTAGTGGAAGCAAAGGAAAGAAGGCACCCAAGGAAGCAACAAACGAGGCAGATAAACAAGCTGCTAATGAGGCACAAAACGGCAAGAAAACGATGATTAGAGACAAAAGAAAGTGCAAGAGATGTGGAGAATTAGGCCATGGTGAAACAAGCTACAAATGCCATTTTAATGGGACTAAGAAAAGACAAGACCTACTATATTCACTTGTTGTCTTAAATTGTTGTGCTCATTAACTTGAATATTTGTCTCTAAACTTACGAGGCAAAAGAAGCCAATGAAAAATACAATAAAGTATGGTGACAATGCAAAGATCCCAACAAAGAGAGCAAAGAAGGGAGGGGCAGTAGCTCTTGAACCAACACTTTGCAATAAATGGCACCACCACCCCAAATCCTTCCAATGACCAAGTCTTGGCACTAGCACACCCCAAATCCTTCCAATGCTCAAGTCTTGGCACCAAAGAGACCCCAAATCCTTCCAATGCCCAAGTCTTGGCACCAAGAGCCCAAATCCTTCCAATGCCTAAGTCTTGGCACCAACAACCCCAAATGCACTCTCCAAATTTCCCCACAAGGCTCACAAGAGCGCAGATCCTACAAAAATAGCCCCATTAGGGTGACAAGAGGGTACTCAACAGATTAATTCTCATTGTTTTATACTTGTACACGAGCAAAAAATGACTCATAGTGGTACTTTTATTGCAGTAGACTCCACACCTTTGCTAGGTGAAGGTGTGGATCCCATCATTCTTTGCCTCACCAGACAAGACTGTCCAAAAGAGGAGCCCAGTGAAAAAACTGAAGCCAAGGAAACTGAAAACCAATTGATGCTTTGTGTCTGGAATGTCTGAAATTGTATCTGGACCTTATCCTATGTATCTGAACATGTATGTGGACCTATGTTATTGTATCTGGACCTATGTTATTGTAACTTAAATGGTGTAAACCTTTATGAAAACTACTATGTTATCTGGATATATGTAATTGTGTGAACCTTTATGTTATTGGAATGGTGTGAACCTTTATGAAATCTACTATATTTTTGTAATGTTATTGTGATCATGAAATTATGTCAAAATTCTGTCGCAATTCAATTGAAATTCTGTCCAAATTCTAGAATAAGCAGGCATACTTGTCAATGCCAGACAATGGACCTGCAGTTTACCAAGCCCCCATCTCGCCAAAGCATCCAGGCAAGGTGGTGGAGGCGGCAACTAAAGTGGGGGGCACTGTACAATATCAGAAAAAGGCTGGCCATTGATCTACACATGTAGCTTCATGACCAACTCCACCTCCAGCTCTAAAAATTTCTGGAGCCAGGCGACCAGCTCCAAAAAATTTCATAGAAATGGAGCTGGCCGTACATCCAACCCCATTTACACATGGCAGCCTCAGATTCAAGGGCAAGGGAGGATATAAAATTACAATCAAACAATAAAGAAAATCCATCAATCACAGCTTGCCGATTTTCCCCATTTACGTGTTCCAGGCACTTGACTTTCACATCCTTTTTTTCAATTCAGTTTCAAGCACATATTCAGTACCATGGTTAACTCAGATGACAAGGCCAAACAACGGCAAAAAAAATGTGACAATAGCAAACACCTATTTAACATATATTTCAGTTTTATGTTTACAATCACCAATCACTAATTGCAATAATCAAACTAGTGCCACAAGCTGAAACTAGTGTTGCCAATTGATCACAGATGAATAGGCGATTCACAAAATCATCTGTGCATATTGGCATCCAACTAGCGACAAAAGCTAACTAATCGGTACTTGATACAACACAGTTCTAGAACACAATCTTGCTTCACTTGCTAATAAGCACTACCACACCTAAAAAAGAACTATGATGATCATGACTAAACAGAGCACCACCAACAATTTGGACCAGGATCGATAAAGCTTGTCCATCTTGAGATAGATCCTATCTTCATCAAAAAATCCTGCTTTTAAGCTTCATTTCTTCTTGACATTTAGTTTCACCATGACCTTCTAATGGCACTACAGCTAGCAAATCTTCTTTAAGCTTCTTTGCGACTACTTTCTTGTACTCTTCCAATCACCTAAAGAATGGATATTTCTTCACTGCCTGTGGAAATGACAATACATAACACAGTTTATTTATCCAAACCTTGACACAGTACCTAGTTCATCCAATTGTATATGACAATAAACAACAGAGCAATATATACTCACAAATTCATTGTAGTTTACGCATTTGAAGAAAATTCTGCCGTTGTTCTTCCAGGATTTGCATTCCACAACTTTATCACCACATTCTAGGCATGGAATCAAGGGGATCCCACTAGGGCCAAGTGGATACATAGAAACGACAGATGTTGGGATGAACGATGAACTAGACGAACCCTCATCCATAGCCTGGCATGTGCGGCGGTGGCCTGGGGAAGAGCACCCGGACGGGCAAGACCAGCGGCCGCAGATCCAGCGACGGGGAGAGTGGGGACCTGCTCGTGGCGGCACTGGCGGGCTTGCGTAGACGCGTCGGGG